TCTATCTGAAGATAAATGTAAAAAATGTCCTCAAGTGAGGATAAAAAAAGAAATGCAAGAAGAGTCTTTACAAGTATGTGAATGAACCCAATGTGGTTAGCACTGGCTTTCCTAAAACCTCCTGTCAGAACTAGGGTGGGCCAATGTTTTATTTTTCCCCAAAAAGCTCAGGTAGTATCTTAGTATTAGGAATTTACAGAATCTTATGGTAACTTTTACATTTTCTGTGTTAATGATTGCAGAGAAATGATAATAATAATCACTGAGGTTTTTGTGTTTTTAAAAATATTTTTTCCAGTAATATTTCAGTTTCTTCCTTTCAGATCAATGTTAGCATATTCCTTGTTAAACAAGTTTATATTCCATCTAACCAACTCCTTCGATGGGCATGACAAAGTCATTGTGTGATTTTAATGAGAAAAGGGGGTTGGACATTTAGAAAGAAAATGAAGAAAAGACATTTCTTATTTCAACTTTATGTGAACACTGGTGACTCATTTTTAGCACAAAAAATATTACAGATGATTAAAATAACTATTGAGTATAGTGTAATACTATAATTTTGATATGATTATTCTACTTGTTATCTCATTTTTTAGTTCAAAATTACTTTCTCTTTTATAAATTTTTATTGAATTTATTGGTGTGACAGGGGTTAATAAAATTATAAAAGCTTCAAGCGTACAATTCTATAGTATATCTGTATATTGCATTGTATGTTCACTACTCAAAGTCAAATCACCTTCCATCACCATTTACTCCTCCTTTACCTTCTTATGCTTCCCCAAACTCCTTTTTCCCTCCAGTAATCACCTACTGATGTCTGTGTCTATGAGTTTTTATTTCTTTGCTTAATCCCTTACTTTTCTACCGAACCCCCATCACCCTCCTGTCTGAAGCTGTCAGTCTGTTCTCTGCATCTATGAGTCTGTTTCTGTTTTGTTTGTTTGTTTGTTTATTTTTGTTCATTGGATTCCACATATAAGTGAAATCATATGTTATTTGTCATTCTCTGACTGGCTTATTTCAATGAGCACAATACTCACCAGGTTCATTCTTGTTGTAGAAAAAGGTAAGAATCCTTTTGTTTTTATAGTCAAGTACAGTTCCATTGTGTAAATGTACCACTGCTTTTTTATCCACTCATCTACTCATGAACAATGGGGGGCTTCCAAATCTTGGCTATTGTAAATAACACTGCAATGAACATAAGGGTGCATATATTATTTCAAGTTAGTATTATAGGTTCCTTCAGATATATTTCCAGAAGTGAAATTTCTGGGTAATATGGCAGTTCCTTTTCTAACTTTTTAGGAAACTCCATACTGCTTTCCACAATGGCTGCACCAATCTGCATTCCCACCAACAGTACATACACATGGGTTCCCTTTTCTCCACATCCTCACTAATACTTGTTGTTTGTTGATTTATTGATAATCACCATTTTGACACGTAATCTCATTGTGGTTTTAATTTGAATTTCTCCGATGATTAGTGATGTTGAGCATCTTTTCATATGCTTATTGGCCATCTGTATGTCCTCTTTGAAAAAGTGTCTATTCAAGTCTTTGGCCCATTTTTTAAATTGGATTGTTTGTTTTGTTGGTGTTGAGTTTAATAAGTTCTTTATAAAGTTTGGATATTAACTCCTTATCAGATAGATCATTGGTGAATATGTTCTCCCATTAGTGTGCTGTCTTTTCATTTTGTTGATGGTTTCCTTTGCTGTGTAAAACTTTTTAGTTTGATATAGTTTTATTTGTTTATTTTTGCTTGTTTGTTTCACTTGCCTGAGGAAATATACATACACAAAAAAATGATGTTGCTATGAGAAATGTCTGAGACTTTACTGCCTATTCTTTCTTCTAGGATATTTATGGTTTTGAGTCTTATATTTAAGTCTTTAAACCATTTTGAGTTTATTCTTGTATATTGTGTAAGAAGGTGGTGTAATTTAATTTTTTTGCATGTATCTATCCAATTTTCCCAACACGATTTATTGAATAAACTGTCTTTACCCCATTGGATGTTCTTACATCCTTTGTCAAATATTAATTGACCTTAAAGGTGTGGGTTTATTTCTGGACTCTCTATTCTGTTTCATTGATCTATATGTCTGGTTTTATGCCAATACCATGCTGTTTTGATTACTATGCCCTGTTGTATAGTCTGATATCAGGTAGCATAATTCCTCCAACTTTGTTCTTTCTCTAGATTGTTGTGACTACTTGGGTCTTTTGTGGTTCCATATACATTTTTAGAAAAATTTTTTTTTTCAGTTCTGTGAAGTAAGTCATTGCTATCTTCATAGGTATTGCATTGAATCTATAGATTGCTTTGAGTAGTAAGGACATTTTAATGATGTGAATGCTTTCTATGCATGAACATGATATATGCTTTCACTTATTTTGTATCTTCTTCAGTGTCTTAGAATTTTTTAAATACAGGTCTTTTATAGCCTTGGTTAAATTAATTCCTAGATACTTTTATTTATTTATTTTTTTATTGATTAATTTTTGTTACAAATGATTCTCCTTTTTTCCCCCAGTGATTCTCCCCCCCCTTCCCTCCCTGCCCCTTCCCCCGATTGTTGTCCATGTCCACTGTTCATGCCTACATGCATATAAATTCTGTTGTTCATCCCTCTCTCAGCTCCCCACTCCTTAGGGGATTGTCCTCAAACTGTTATGTTCATTATATTCCAGAAATCAGTGAGATCATATGAAATTTGTCTTTCTCTGCTTGGCTTGTTTCACTTAGGATGATACTTTCCAGGTCCCTCCATGTAGTCTCAAAGGATAAGAGATCTTTCTTTCTTACCGCTGCGTAGTACTCCATTGTGTATATGTACCACAGCTTTTTAATCCATTCGTCTACTGATGGGCACTTGGGCTGTTTCCAGATCTTAGCGATTGTAAATAGTGCTGCTACAAAGATGGGGGTACATATATTCTTTCTGATTGGTGTTTCAGGCTTCTTAGGGATTCCTAGATACTTTTAAATGCAATTATAAATGGGGTTGTTTTCTTTCCGATAGTTTATTTTTGGCGTATACAAATGCAACTGATTTCTGGATATTTATTTTGTATCTTGTTCCTTTACTGAATTGTTTGATCAATTCCAGCAGGTTTCTGATGGAATCTTCAGGGTTCTCTATATACAATATTATGTCATCTACAAATAATGAGAGTTTTACTTCTTCCTTTTCAATTCAGCTGCCTTTCATTTCTTCTTCTTGTCTGAGAACTGTGGCTGGGACGTCCAGTACTATGTTGAATAAGAGCAATGAAAGTGGACATCCCTGTCTTGTTCCTAACCTTAAAAGAAACACTTTTAGTTTTTGGCCATTGAGTATGATGTTGGCTTTGGGATTGCCACAGATGGCTTTTATTGTGTTGAGCTATGTTCCTCCTATTCTCACTTTGCTGAGAGTTTTTTTTTTTTTAAATCATAAATATGTACTGGACTTTATCAAATGCTTTTTCTGCATCTATGATATGATCGTGTTATTTTTATCCTTCATTTTGTTTATGTGGTATATCATATTATAAATTTGTGGATATCATACCAATCTTGCATCTCTAGAATAAATTCCACTTGATCATGGTGTATGATCATTTTAATGTATTGCTGGATAGAGTTTGCTAATATTTGTTGATTTTAACGTCTAGGTTCATCAAGAATATTGACCTATAATTTTCTTTCTTTGTAGTGTTTTTATCTTGTTTTGTAATCAGGATAATACTGTCTTCATAGAACCAGCTCTGAGTCTTTCCTTCTCTTAAAATTTTTGAAATATTTTAAGAAGGATAGGTATTTGTTCTTCCCGTGCTTAGTAAAATTCACCTGTGAAGTCATGTGGTCCAAGACCTTTGTTTGCTGAGAGTTTTTTAAATTAGCGCTTTGATTTTATTAGTTATAATTGGTTTACTCAGATTTTTTTATTCTTCCTGATTCAGTTTTGAATGATTACATGTTTCTAGGAATTTATCCATTTTATCTAGATTGTCCAGTTTTTGGACATATAGTTGCTATTTATATTTTCTTATAATCTCTTGTATTTCTGTGGTGTCAGTTGTTACTTCTCTTATTCCATTTATGATTTATTTATTTCCTCTCTCTTTTTTTTTCTTGATGAGTCTGGTTAAAGGTTTATCAATCTTGCTAATCTTTTTAAAGAACTAGCGGTTATCTCATTTTCTGCCTGTCCACATAGTCATTTGTGTTTTACATAAAACAGTCAGGGCCACAGAAAGGTTTGACTTGAAATTTGTTTTGGGCGGCTATTTCTTGTTCTGCTGAAAGTGCATCTTCAGCTGCATGGGGGAGAGGTGTGCATGAATTTTTTTACTCATGTGAAGATCAATTGCAGCATGTAGAATGAACCCAGATATGGCAGGTTGAAAAGTCTAAGTTTTGTGATAACTCAAAGAGATTATTTAGTCAGGTGAGAATATTTCAGGCCAAGCTGACTGCTATTGCTTGATGGGGAAGAAAAGAAGAAAGACATGTAAATGCACAGTCCAATTGTGACTGTAAAGATATGTCTTCAGAAGTCCTGTATGCTCAGTGTTTACTCTGTGTTTCGTTGTGTATTTTCAGTTTGTGCAGTGGTTGCTTCCAGGGAATGTTCAGCCAGTGATAGAGGATCTGGCACCCTCTGACAACTTGTTCCCTTTCACTGTTCTTGGGACTTCTCTGGGAGGATCTAATTCAAAAGAAGCTTTTACTTTGAAAGCTTCAAGTCATTTTACTCTATAAATTATATGTAGAGTGAAAGGCTTATTTACTCTTAACTCCATTGCTCTTAAACCTCTCAACTTCTTCTTGCCGGTAAAATTTATGTGCATAGGAGAAAGATTATTTTTATTTGTGGTTTTGTATTAGAGATTTTTATTTATGTTCATTCAATAAATATACATGAAGCACTTACTAGATGTGAGGGGACATGAGCAAACTGCCTGTTTGAAAGGTCATGCAAAGTCTTAGTTCCTGAAGGATCAGAGCCCTGTGCTTTTGGCCCTGAGCTGAGCCACAGACGCAGGGAGTGCTAGCAGCCCTGTTCTTGTCACAGCCAAAGCCCTCCGGGGGATAGTTCTTTGAGGAGTCTTTTTGGCTGAGGCTCTCTTGGTTGAATCTCTAAGTATAGCAGCACAAGCCAAGGCCTCCTGTTGAGTAATATGACCTAGAGTGGAAAAATTAAGAAACTTTAATCAATTTACATCAATTTTACAAAACAAATAAACAACTCTGCAAATATTCACAGATTCACAAAATTTCTTCTACTTTGCAGGACAGAAACAATTGTATTTAGCACACTCAGATTGTATAATTTTTGAAGACAGGAAGTATATTATTCTTTGTTTGCATTTATTATTCAGTAGATTAAAAATTACATCGTCATTTGTTATCATGACAGATCATTTGGACAGGGAATTGAGCCATGAAGAATCTTCATGTGAATTGCTTATCTTTAGCATCAAAACCTTCTTCAAACCAGAAACATATATATTACATCTCTCTGTGCTTTTAATGTGCAGTTTTTAAACCACCTATACAATCATCTGGGTAAGACCACTGTTAATAATGCTTTTAAAAACTATTTGAATGCTCCCAACCAATTAGCTCACTGGACTGAGTGTCCTCCAATGGACTGAGCAGTCCCAGTTCAATTCCCAGTCAGGGCACATGCCTGTGTTATGGGCTCAATCACCAGTAGGGGGCATGCAGGAGGCAGCCAATCAATGTTCCTTTTTACATCAATGTTTCTATCTCTTCCTCCTTTCCTCTCTCTCTAAAAAAATCAATAAAAACATATTTTAAAAAATATTTGCATGAAAGTGGAAAATTTAAAAAGTTGGAATAGCAATACTTATATCTGAGAAAATAAATTTTAAACAAAGGCTACACTAAGAAACAAAGAAGAACACAACATAATAAAAGGAGCAATGCAACAAGAGGATATAACCCTTGTAAACATTTATGCATCCAACATAGGAACACCTAAATATATAAAGCATATCTTGATGAACATAAAGAGAGAGATCAATAGTAATGCAGTTATAGTAGAATACTCTTAACACCCCATTGACATCAGTGGATAGATCTTCCAGAAAGAAAATCAACAAGGAAACAATGGCCTTAAATGCACAGTAGATCAGAAGAAATTAATTGATGTCTTCAAAGCATTTAACCCCAAAGCAGCAGAATATACATCTTTTCAAGTGCATCTGGAACATATTCTAGGGTAGACAACATGTTAGGAGTCAAAACAAGTCTCAAGAAATTTAAGACGATTTAAATCACATCAAGCATCTTCTCTGACCATAATGGTTTGAAACTGGAAGTCAATCACAAGGAAAAAAAAAACTACAGAATAAGATGTTACTAAATAACAAATGGGTAAACAATGAGATCAAAGGAGAAATCAACAGATACCTTGAAACAAATGAAAATGAGAACACAACCACCCAAAATCTATGGGACATAGCAAAAACAACCCTAAGAGGGAAATTCATAGCATTACAGGCCTACCTGAAGAAACAAGAAAGATCTCAACAATAAAAAAATCTAACTTTAAACATGAAGAAACCAGAAAAAGAACAACTAACAAAGCCCAATGTGAGCCGAAAGATAAAATAATAATAAAGGTCAAAGAAGAAATAAACCAAATAAAATCTAAAAAACCACAACAACAACACAAAAGATCAATGAAACCAAAAAACTGATTCTTTGAAAAGATTAAGAAGATTGACAAACCTTTAACCATGCTCATCAAGAAAAAAAAGAGAGAGGACCCAAATACATAAAATCAGAAATGAAAGAGGAGAAGTAACAACTGACACCAAAGAAATATAGTGTATTATAAGAAATATTATGAACAAATAAATGCCAACAAATTGGACAAAATGGACAAATTTCTAGAAACATACAATCTTCCAAAACTGAATCAGGAAGAATCAGAGGATATGAGTAGACAGATTACAATTAGTGAAATTGATGTAGTAATTAAAATACTCCCAACAAACACAAGTCCTGGACTGGATAGTTTCACAGGTAAATTTTACCAAAAATTCAAGAACTAACACCTAACTTTCTCAAACTATTCCAAAAAAATTCAAGAAGAGGGAAGACTCCCAAGCTGATTTTACAAAGCCAACATTATCATAATTCCAAAACCAGATAAAGACATTCAAAGAAAGAAAATCATAAGGCAATATTTCTGATGAACATAGATGCTAAAATCCTCAACAAAATATTAGCACATTGATACATCAAAATGATCATACACCATAATTATGTGGGTTTTATTCTGGAGATGCAAGGTTGGTACAATATCCACAAATTCATTACATGATACACCACATAAAGAAAATGAAGGATAAAAATAACATGATCATATCAATAGATACAGAAAAAGCATTGATAAAATCCAACACCCATTTATGATAAAAATTTTCAGCAAAATAAGAATAGGGAGAACATAACTCAACATAATAAAGGCCATCTATGGCAATCCCAAAGCCAACATTATACTCAATGGGCAAAAGCTAAAAATGTTTCTCTTAAAATAAGGAATAAGACAAGGATATCCACTTTTACCACTCTCATTTAACATAGTACTGGAAGTCCTAGCCACAGCTCTCAGAGAGGACAAAGAAATAAAAGGCATTTGAATTAGAAAGGAGTAAAAGTAAAACTCTCATTATTTGCAGATGATATTATACTGTATATAGAAAACCCTAAAATTTTCATGGAAAAACTACTAGAATTGATAAATGAATTCAGTAAAGTAGCAGGATACAAAACAAATATCCAGAAATCAGTTGCTTTTGTATACAACAATAATGAACTATCAGAAAGAGAAACAAAGAAAGCAACTTTATTTATAAAATAATAAAAAATAAATACCTAAATAAAATACCTAAGAATAAATTTAACCAAAGATGTAAAAGACCTGTATTTGGAAAAATATAAGACACTAAAGAATGAAATTGAAGAAGATACAAGTGGGTGGCAGCATATATTGTGTTTATGAATAGAAAAAATTAACATCATTAAAATGTCTATACTATCCAAAGCAACCTATAGATTCAATGCAATTCCTATCAAGATACCAATGACATATTTTACAGAACTAGAAATAATATTCCAAAAATTTATATGAAACCACAAAAGACCCTGAGTAACCACAGCAACCTTGAGAAAGAAGTATAATATTGGAAGAGCAATGCTACCTAATATCAAACTATACCAACTACAAGGCCATAGTAATCAAAATAGCATGGTACTAGAATAAAGACATATAGATCAATGGAACAGAATAGAGAGGCCAGAAATAAACTCACACCTTTATGGTTAATTAATATTTGACAAAGGAGGCAGGAATATACAATGAAGTAAAGATCGTCTATTCAATAAATGGTGGTGAGAGAATTGAACAGATATGTGCAAAAAAATAAATCTAGGCCACCTTCTTACACCATACACAAGAATAAACTCAAAATGAATTAAAGACTTAAATGTAAGACTCAAAACCATAAAAATCCTAGTCTTGGCTGGTTTGGCTCAGTGGTTGGAGCGTCGGCCTGTGGACCAGAGAGTCCTGGGTTTGGTTCCTGCTAGGGGCACGTACCAAAAAAAACCCCCATAAAAATCCTAGAAGAAAACATAGGCAGTAAAATCTCAGACATTTCTCATAGAAACATTTTTTCAGATATATTTCCTTGGGCAAGGGAAACAAAAGAAAAAAAACAAATGAAATTAAATCAGACTAAAAAGTTTTGCACAGCAAAAGAAACCATGAACAAAATGAAAAGACAGCCCACTGAATGGGAGAACATATTTGCCAATGATACATCTGATAGGGGGCTAATATCCAAACTTTATAAAGAACTTATAAAACTCAACACTGGTCCTGGCTGGTGTAGCTCAGTGGTTTAGAGTGTTGGACCACGCACGAAAGGGTCACATGTTTGACTCCAGGTCAAGGGTACATTCATGGGTTGCAGGTTCAATCCCTGGCTCCAGTCAGGGTTCGTGGGGAGGCAACCAATGTGTCTCTCTCACATCTATGTTTCTCTCTCTATCTGTCTCTCTCTCTCTCTTCTTCTTCTCTCTCTCCCACTCTCTAAAAAAAAAATCAATGGAGAAACATCCTTGGGTAATGATTAACAACAACAAAAATCTCAACAACAAAAAATAAACAATCCAATTTAAAAAATGGGCAAAGGACCGGAATAGACACTTTTCCAGTGAGGACACACAGATGGCCAATGGACATCTGAAAAGATGCTCAATGTCAACAATCATCAGAGAAATGCAAATTGAAACCACAATGACATTGCCTCTCACCTGTAAGAATAGCTATTATCAATAAATCAACAAACAACAAGTGTTGGAGAGGATGTGGAGAAAAGGGAACCCTTGTGCACTGTTGGTGGGAATGCAGATTGGTGCAGCCACTGTGGAAAGCTGTATATAATTACCTCAAAAAAACTAAAAATGGAACTGCCTTATGACCCAATGATTCTCCTTCTTGGAACAGATCTGAGGAATCTCAAAACACCAGTTTCAAAGAATATATGCACCCCTATGTTCATTGCAGCGTTATTTATAATAGTCATGATTTGGAAGCAGCCCAAGTGTCTATCAGTAGATGAGTGGATAAAAAAGCAGTGGTACATTTACATACTACTTGGCTGTAAAAAATAAGGAAATCTTACCCTTTGTGACATCATGGATGGACCTAGAGTGTATTAAGTTAAGTGAAATAAGCCAGTCAGAGAAAGACAAATACTAGATATTTCATTTATATGTGGAATCTAATGAACAAATAAACAGATAAAATAGAAACAGACCCATAGGTGCAGAGAACAGATTGACAGTTGTCACAGGGGAAGGGGTTTGGCAGACTGGGTTAAAAAGCTGTAGGACTTAAGCAAAAAAAAAAAAAAAAAAAAGCTCATAGACACAGAGAACAGTATGGTGATTACCAGAGAAAAAGGGGAGTGGGGGGAGGTGGGAGAGGGTAAATGGGGGATAAATGGTGATGAAAAGAGACATGACTGGGTGAGGAACACACAATATATAGATGATATATTATTGAATTGTACTTTTGAAACTATAAAATATTTTTAACCAATGTAAACCCACTAAACTCAATAAAAAATAAAATATAATAAATTAAATGATTGATCAGTTTTTTTTAAATGCATTGATAATGTTTTTTAAAATGATTTCTGGTTCTATTCCAAAGTCCTTTTGAATCAGAAACTCAGAAATTTAGGCTTGGAAATTTGTATTTTAATAACATACAGAGGTGGATTTTATGTGCACTAAACATTGGCTATTCTGCTTCTAGGCTCATTGACTTCTAAGCAGTGTTATTCTGCAAACAAAACTACTAGATGATGTTTCTGCAACACTTCAAACAATCATTGGGACCAGCTGAATCCTGGCTCTGCCATTTACTAGTTACATGACCCTGGTCAAGTTTTGTAACTTATCCATGTTTCAATTTTCTCTTCTATAAAATATGGGTCATAAAGGCATCTACCATGTAGACGTGTTTGGGTTTTAAGTAAGATAATATATGCAAAGTGCTTAGAACAGTAGCTGGCACACAGGACGGTGCAATGAAAGATAGCTACTGTTACTGTGTTTGTTATTAAATCACTTGCAAAAAACATCTTTGCCTTTTGTTCAAATACAGAGACAACAGTATAGGTAGATTGCTAATGCCAAGTGAGTAGTTTAGAAAAAATAAAATAAAACTCTATGAGAGTTGGGAGAAGAGTTTAATAGAGAGGGGCTGAAGACTGAAAACATTTTTGAGAAATAAGACATTTAACAACAATTACATCTTTCCGTAGATTGTTGCTTATGATCTATGGGGGTCTTTCAGAACCATTATTTCATTTGTGCATCATACAGTCCCATGAGGTTCATGGAAGAGAGATGGTGAGCATGGAGACCAGAAGGCATGATCTTTGTAGGTGATGCTCCCAACTGACACTATCTGTGTGATCTTGATTAAGTTATATAACCCACTGAGCGGCAGTTCCCTTCCACTGTAAAGTGGGGAGAAAATGAGAAAGTACAGTAGGGCTCTGAGCACAATGTCTGGGACATTGTAAATGCTCAACAATAAAAATATTCCTGTTGTAGTAAGCCAAGTCTCTCAGTTTATGCAGCCAACGAGGGGCTGCTGAGCTGTGGTCTGAGCCTGGACCGTCTGCCTGAAGCCACGGTTGTCACTACTAGATCAAGTTCTTACAAATCTCAGAGAGTTGTTGACATTTTATAATAATCCATCCTCCGATTTCTTTAAACCCTCTAAATTTACCTATAGAATCTTGTTTACTATTGTCAGGGATAATTTAAACACACACATTGATAAAATAGCTCGCTGGCAGAGAACATTCTACTTGAGTTTTTCATCAGGAACAACTTCTGGCTGCACTCGTCCCTTGAGGTGCTGTTTCCAGGCCACGTAGTTAAACTCACCGAGCCGCTGCTGGTGCTGGAGGCCCTGAAGATAGCGGGTCTGCAGGGCCGCCCACTGGGGCCTGGAGCTGTAAATCCTCATGATACTGTAAAAGTAGCGCTGCTGCCCCTGGGTTAGGTCCTGTCAAAGCACAGCAGGTGATTGGACGAGTCGGTGGAGTTGACAGAATTAAGAGTGATATATTCAAAGCTGACTTTCGTGAAATAAGATGCTTCTCTCTCTGTTCTCACTCTTGTGCTCCCGATAGATAGATAGATAGATAGATAGATAGATAGATAGATAGATAGATGATAGATAGATAGATAGATAGATAGATAGATAGATAGATAGATAGATAGATATAGATATAGATAAAGGTGAAATGGCTAAGTAAAAGATTCTAGGTAAGTAGGTCAAAATTTGGGGCTGAGGAAGATCCAAGGATTTTTTTCGTTTTTACACAGATCCTGATGTATGCCAGGCCTCTGGGTGGGTAAAAGAGAACTTTTCACTGAGTTGTCAGTAAGCAGGGCAGATAGGTAGATAAATAGATGGGTAATGTGATAAGAGCTCAACAGAAGGAAAACAAACTCTACAGCAGTAAAGGAAACTTCTGAAATGAGATGATCAGCACATCTCATCTGAAGGGTGAAGAGGAAGTCCCCAAAGGGACTAGAATCCTGGTTCTAACAGGCATCAGCATCACCTGGTACTGTTGGAAGTTCAGATTCTCGGGCCCCACTCCAGACCTATAGAATAAAAAACTCGGGGGGGGGGGGGGGGGCGGGCAGCACTCTGAGCTTTAACAAGTCCTCCGGGTAATTCTGATAAACGCACAACAATATTTGAGAACCACCTGGCCAGAAGGAAAAGAGAGCTAATTAGAGGGAGGAGGCAGTACAACTTTTCTTAATAGGGCACAACATATCTGGATATACTGGGAAGCAGACTCCTCCTTTACTTCAACCAGAACATGGTGTCTGAGCTGGAAAGGCTATAGAGTTAGGCAGGGGAAGGTCACGGAAACCTTTATGCCATGGTAAGGGTTTTAAAATTACCTTTTTTTTTGTAAGGAACCATTTAAAGTCTCTATTTAAGGCAGTGTTTCTCAACAGGAGTGATGTTGACTTCAGATAATTGTTTATAAAAATAAAGCCACTTTTATCTGTTAGAAATTTTGTGTGCAATTGAAATAGGTGCGTCAGTTTTGTTTTGTTCGTTTGCTCGTTTTTGACGTCCAGAGTGAAAGTAGCAAAACCAAGTAATTCACAATTTGAGACATCATTTCCGCTTTACAATTTCTGGATTAGATGTTTTAAAAGGTAATATATTTGAAGAAGAAAATGGATTCCTAGTTAAACCTTTTCAAATGACTGAGGACAATATAATATGAAAATCCCAAGCCAATTCCAAGAGCAAAGCTCCCAAGTGCAGTGGGGTTTTCCAATATGGCAGAGAAGACCTTAAAAAATGTGGTTTTATTTAATAAGAAGAGAAAGTCTACTTCTTTTCCTTAGTAGAACTATCAACTTCCAAAAGAAGAAGCAGCAGTAACATTTCTAATATTCTTATCTAGTGGCTGATTCCTCCTTGAGGGGATGGCAGAGAATGGTAATTTTTACAGAGTATCTATGAGAATGGCTTTAACTAATTGGGGCTGAAAGGAGCGGACATGGCATTCCAGCCAGGAGCCAGAGGGTGGGCATGAGTTCCCTGTCACGGAGGGGGGGGGGGGTTAGAGCAGCCACACATTTATTCTCTCACACACGTGGTCAACATGCTCTGAGGGCTGATATTAGGCTCAGTGTTCTCCCAAATGCCGGGTAAACAAAGACATGAAAATTCCTCAAGCCCCGAGGGAGAGACAGACAAGCTCTCTTCATCTGTGAATAACATGCTGTACCTTCATTAATGAAGTGTCAGAGGCAGAGGGAGGGACGCGAATGCGAGGAATTTGTGGAAACTTCTGAAGCTTTGGCTGTCTTTTCTGTTTTTCTCCCATTCTCTTTCCTGTACCTCCAAGGAAACGACAAAGCACAGCATCAAATTGCATTTTGTTCAACCAATTTTGAGAAGGTACCTAAGTAAATAAATGAGCAAGTAAATAAATAAACAAATAAATAATGTTATGTATTTCAAGGGATAAGAAGTTTTCTCTCATTTCCAAGAAAGGGAACTCACCAGACTGTGTAGTTCTGCACTTGTCCCTATTCTCATCCTTTTTAAAAAAAATAATAATAATAATAAATCAATTTAATGACTTTTTGAGAGAGAGGAAAAGGAAGGGGTAGAGTGATAAACATTAATTTGTTGTTCCCGTATTTATGCATTCATTGGTTGATTCTGACCAGGGATTGGAGATGGGACCCACAACCTTGGCATATTGTGATGCTGCTCTAACCAACTGAGCTACCTGTCCAGGGCTCTATTCTCATCCCCTCCCTCCTTTTTCAATAGGAGGAATAGTTCAGAGCCCTATGTCTCTCTGTTTAACTCTGTGTTTGAAACAGGTGGTTTGTAGAACCATACCATGTCACAACAGTTATTTCTTGATAATTTCAAATAATATTATCTTCTTTAATTCCAAAGTTAATAGATGTCATTATGGAAAATTCAGGAAAAAATAAAAACATCAAAGAACATAACATAAACCATAATCTACCTGTCTATACTATTGTTGGCATTTGATCAATTTCCTTTTATTAATTTTCTCTGAGTACATTGTGTGTGATTTTAGAAAAGGGAGCTCATACTCTATTTGTTGTGCACTTTCCTAGCTCATTAAATATCTTTTAAAATATGATTTCCAGTGGCAGTATAGTAAAACGTTACATCATTTTCCATTTCTGGCACATTTAGATTTGCAATTTTATAACCTGGCCACATTTTTGCCACTTGCCTGGCCAACATACAAAATAAATTCGCACCTGCTTAAGAGTAAGTCTCCTTCCCATTTATTTTAGAAATTTGAATCTGAGGAGTACATAATAATTAAAAAAATTAGCAATCAAAGAATAATAGACATATTGGAATAAGGTTGCCAAGGCACAGAATGGGAACCCTGAGCATTTCCCCCTCTGCTCACGATTCTGCCCTTGGCAACAATGCCTACCTCATGAGGTTGTTTGAATACCTGAGATCATGAATATAGAACGCTCCTACTTTATTCCAGCTCCTCTGTCTCTTCTCTACTCTATTGTATGCTTATGCACATGTGTGCACACAAGTGCACATATGAACACACACTTAAGAAATACTTTAACATGTGAGAAAACTTTGGTTCTGTGTTCACAGAGCCCAGGCTCAGATATTCCAAAAGAGAAATGTGTTAGGAAAACGTCAGTCAGCATCTCCATGTATCTTGTTTCCATGATAAGAACTTATACATTAAACTATACATATTTTATTTAATACTGTTTTCCTTCAACATGCACCCCAGAAACCATACCAACCAAGATACACTCTTTTAACATTCTCAGAGACAGAAGCCTATACTCTATCCTGTATTCAAATCATCTCAATATCCCTTCTCCCATTTTCCAGATCTATAGAACAGAGCATAAATATTCTTCAACACTAGAGAGGTTTCTTCTTTTCTTAAATAACATAAGAAAATGACTGATGATATTTCTCGTGGCAACAATTTATGTGTGCTTTTCTTGAGCTATTGCTGAGAAAATCCATCTTACCTATTCAAGTGGTCTGTACCTGATAAAGTTTAATTAAAATGCTGGAGACTTCAGGAGGAAATTTTACAAAATAACGTATCTAAAATAAAAAAACATGTTTGCATAAAAAGAACTTACCCTGTATGCTGACCTCCCTCTTTTTAAAAGCTTGCATTCATATTCCATGCAATTTTTTTTCAAGGTCTCTTTCTTCTTGCAGTGGTGAGGGTGAAAATTCAATCTGTTGATAAGCTGATATCCAGGCAACATCATGTGATGAAACAAAGCGCTGGAGGAATTTGGCCTCATGCCTTTTTCTACTTCTGGACAACATTCAACTCCACAGTCTAATCTATTTTCTTCCAAATTTTGTGTCTAATCAAGTATCAGCTTCTAAATTTATCACATCTCTGTTATATGAAGACATAGGGGAGGAAACTGCAAGGAGAAAGACTGAATGTTAAATATCAAGTAATCCATTGGAACAATAGGCCATGGCATGAATTGTTCCCAGAGTAGGAGTCGGTAGCCCCCATGCCCATTGCTCTGAATGACAAAGGAACCGAAATATAGAGGTACAGGCATGGATTTGACTGTGGTAACCTATGCAATTGTCACATAATTCAAGGTACTATTCCTTTCCAAATTTTCAGAGGAGTGTGATATTTTCCATATTTGATTTTTGATAAAAGCTACATGAATCTATGGCACAAAATTCTTGCCACGCTGATGTCATCAGCATAAGTCTCACATTTTAACCTGATTCATGAGAGCAATCTCATCCTTTCCTCTGGGCTAGCATTATTATTGCAGACTTCCTTCATTTCTTAAGAATCCTCTCTCCGAATGCCAGCTTTATCTGCAAAGATAAAAAGCCCTTAGAGAAAATAGAAGAAAAAATGCCTAAAGAAGACCACAAATTAAAAATTCTTGGAAGGCTAAGAGGAAGAAAAACACAGAGAGATAAGAGTTATAAATTGTAAAGCTTAAAGAAGAAAGAACGGGCTCAACAGACACAAAAAGTTTGCATTTAAAAAATTATTTCCATGCAAATCTTCTGGGGCATAAGCATGGCACAAACAAGAGTCTATAAATGCCAGTGAGTATCACAACACCTCTCACTGGATCTGAGAGGCTGGCGATTCTCCACTGAGAGATAAAGAAAAGTTAAATGCAGAGCTGACATTGTCAATTGAGTCTTCTTTGAATGTTTTTCCGGGATATGATGAAATGCCTTCTGGGGCAATACACATAGCTGACTGTTACCCACACATGTTGATTCACAGCAGTGTGCATTAGTACCTGCCCAGTCGGAAAAACAGAAACAGACCTGGGTGTTCAATAGACAGAGACTTGGATGTGCAGAATTTGTTACAAAAGTATTGAAATGGGCTAGAGGAGCAACACAAGAAAGGTCAGCTGATCCAAAGACTGGCAATTACACTCAAATATGATCACACACATAGCTGGAACACGAAAGGGAAAATGACTTTACCCAGAGTCTATGACCACTGTGCCCCTGAGGCCACTGCTACTGGGACACTACTGCCTGAGCAGCAACTCAGGACGCGCCCGTCGCCAGCCACCCTTGCTTCTGTGTTCTTTCCAGAACCGCTAATGTCACAGTTGTGATGACCACTGTCACTGCCCCGCTGCTGCTCTTGCTGGTGTGCTTGCTGATGCTGCAATGCCACAGATCCAGGCTGAAACCATGAACATGGCTTCTCCTTGTACCCAGGCTTCCATTTCGTACCTCCCATTGGGCGCCCGCTGGTAAGGAATTCTGTAAAATACATCCTGCTGCTTTCCCACTACTGTGCCGATAAGAAGGTTAAATACAAAGCTGAGAGACAATGGACACCATCCAACACATGGGGATACCATCAACAAAAATCTGACAGGTGCCTCTGGGACCTATGAAGTCAGCCAGAAGATCAAAGGACTTAAACACACAGTTAATGTTTGTTTATACCACTGAAGTTTGGAATTTTACAAGAAAAGACAAAATAAAAGATAATTAACTAGCTCTAAAGATGGTGTCAAAGAATGAGATATACATTTTTGGACAATATCTTAAGACTTAATAATGATAAAAACAATATATATTATCAGTTTGGGACAAAAGAAATTGCTTTCACAAAGAGTTGCTAGCTAGACTTTTCAAAATAATTTAAAACTGAAAAAAAAAAAAGAATAGAAACACCCATCACCTAATTACTATAGAGAATATATTAACTATTACTAAAAAAAAGGTGCATACTATTTCATAGCTGAAATATTGGCAAAGCAATGGGTTACAATGCTTAAGATATTGGTATAGCTACTTTTCTATTTTGTTGTTTTTGCTTTTGTTTTTCTCTATTGATTTTTAGAGACAGAGGGAGGGAGAAGGAGAGAAAGATAGAAACAGGGAGAGGGAGAAAGAGATAGTAACATCAATGAGAGAAAACAACGATTAGCTGCCTCCTGCATGCCCCCCACTGGGGATCAGGCCCACAACCTGGGCATGTGCCCTGACCTGGAATCAAACTGGCGACCTCTTGGTGCATGGGTCGACGCTCAACCCCGAGCCACACCAGCTGGGCAGTACAGCTACTTTTCAAACATGGGTAATAAAATACTTCCATAGAATAGCAGGGTAAAGAGCAAGTGAGGAAGAAGGACCCGTGATTGGAATTCCAGATGAAGTTAAACCCTAACTCAAAGAATCCAATCTTTAGAACAAGAGGCAGAGTATTACCATACATCATGGAGATAAATACTTCCCTTGAAAATCATGAGCCCAATGAAAAAGGGGAAGGGATCGAGATTACAGATAGGTAGTTCCGAGAGAGTCGTGGGGATGTAAAGCACAGCACAGGGAATATAGCCAATAATGCTGTAATAACTATGCAGGGTGCAGGTGGGTACTGGAAACATCCGGGGGAACATTTTGTAAAGTCTAAGATTGCATAACCACTATGCTGTACACCTGAAACTAATAAAAAAAATAATATTGAATGTAAACTGTAATTGAGTAATAAAATGAAAACAAAAACAAAAGCAACAACAACAAAAAACATAAGCCCAAGAGGAAATTAGCTGCTTCTATCCTTCTCCAGGGTCTCCTGAGCTTCAGAACTCTCATGGGAATATGACTGCCCCCAGCCCTCAGAGGGCTCCAATGAACAATAAATAATGAAGTGAAGAAAGTGTCCCTTTGCCACTCTGTGTTGCTGTTTATTACTTTGATTCCTGGATGTCTCCACTTAGAGCCGTACACAGTCCTTTTTGGATTCTGCTTTCTCATAGGTCTACATAGTCCGTTGGGCTTGATCTTGTTTGATGGAAGGTT